GTCTCTTCACCTATAGATTCAAAATTATTGATAAAAAAATGTCTAAAATGAATAATGAGGGCTTTTCCATTAGTACTCCAACTGAAACAGTGGTAAAAACTGATTCTGTAAATAATTTTAAATGAGTGTCATCCAGGTATTTAAGGTTCAGAAAGTCTGGCATCAGAGATGAGAAGCAGTGGAGGTGAGAAACCAAACTGACTACTGCTAAACATGCAAAGAATTTGTCAGTCTCATCAAAATAGTTAAAGTTGTTCTCCCATCCACTGACAGCTGGGTGGTTGCAAAGCCTTGACTCGTCTCAGGTAAACATTGTAGTGAGCAGTTTACAGGTGCTTTGTGACCACAACCGACTTCAACGGGTTTCTCTGGGATCAGCAGGCTAGGGGTAATGAGGACGGATCCAGGGAGAATGTGTTTAACGTATTGTCAATCAATCATGAGGACCAGGAATGCATGTCCGCTAAATCTCCATACATCACGGTACTCATTATTACCCCCACACTAGAAAGACCATCACCCAGAGGGAGACGCCAATATAAAATCAAAATAATAACTGCAAGTGGGTTGTATATTTTGAGGAATGCAAGAGGTGTCAGACCGGAATATGTCAGTTTTAGGTTTTACTGGTTTTTCTTTCTGGATGCAGTCCTATAATAATGCGAGAAGAAGATAATAAGCAGGTACAGTTAGGAAGAAACAAAATTTGGATACTTTAGCAGTAAGACCTTAAATCAATAAGTGTAATATTTTGTAAAACAGGAATTATCTCAAAACTCAGAATGAAATGGAACAGTTAGTGAACAAAGCAGTTTGTTAGATATGTGGAGAGTAAGAAGTGAACAAGAGGAAATTAAAATTGTTCCTCTTTCTGTTGTTAAATGATGCTGTATTTTGCAGAAGCTGCTGTAATTAAATCAATTGTAACCCTGTTTCTATTGCCATCATTTTGATCAGTGGCTCTTCCTATCAGCAAATGCTGGGCGACTATTGTTAAGTCAATGCTTTTTCCAAGTATGGTGTTTTCGTGACCCTCTTCTGGTTTCAGGTTTAAAAACTGAAATTAACTGAACGTTGGACCAAATAAATTAAACTGAATCAAATTAATTTGTGAAGGCTGTTAACAATCCATTCTGCCACTTGTCCACTAATTCCAGCCCTCCAAGCTTATTTGTTAATCAGTTATAGAGCAATGGGGTATGTTAAAATGTTAACATTCATCAACTGAAGTAATTATTTGAACTAGGGATTAATCCTAAAGGATAAAGGTGGATCCAAAAGCAATCAAAACTAAATTGGATCAGGACAAATCAATGGAAAGCCCAAGAATGAGCTGCCATCGACGTGTTAGAGGCAGGTACAATTACAACATTTAAAAGACAATTAGACAGGTACATGAATAGTAAAGGTTTAGAGGGATATGGGTCAAATGCAGGCAAGTGGGATTAGTTTGGTTTAGGAAACTTGGTTGGCATGGACGAGTCGGACCATATGACTCTACGACATGATTCAAGCCCCACCTGCTCTAGAGGTGTGTAATAACATCTCTGAATAGGTCGATTTAAAAAAACAGCTAAAAAAATGAATGATCAAATAGTAAATGACTAAAAATTTGCAATCGAGAGTTTCCTTTTTCACTAAATGTTCTTTTCATTTAGCATTGTTTGCTCTAATTCTTTAGTTGTGTGGGCACTTTATTTAACCCTGGTTTAAGGGAAACTGTACATAAGTCATGGGAATTTTGAACAAAGTGTGAAATCTGTTTGGTTGAAATTAATAAACAAAAGATACTGTCTGGAATTATTTATGATCTACCAAATAGAGGTGTTTGTGCATGGTATAAATCAGACAAAGCAAAAAGCATGTAGCATGGACAACACAGTAATCATAGGTGACTTCAGTCTGCATATTTTTGAAGAAACTGAGCACTAAAGCTGTGGAGGATAAGTTTTTGAATGGTCTTATGTTTGGTTTGCTATAGCAGTATGCTGAAGAGCCAAATAGAGGACAGGCTGTTTTGGATCTAGTATTGTAATGACAAAGGGCTAATTAACAGTCTTATTGTGTAAGAACATTTAGGGATAAGTGACCATAACGTGATCGACTTTTGCATGATGTTTGAAAATGATATAGTTCAATCTGAAGTATGGAACACAAATTGGCTGAGCTGGCCTTGGAAAGGCATAGGCTATTTTCATGGCTTACAGCAATTATACATTCCTTTGAGGTTCAAAAACTCGGCAAAGATCAATGAACCATGGCTGACAAAGGAAGTTAAGGATTGTGTAAGATTAGAAGGAAAAGCCTATAAAGTAGCCAAAAATAAGACTAAATTTGAGAATCAGGAAATTTTTAGAACACACCAAAAGAAAATAAAGAAACTAAGAAGGAAAGGAAGAATAGAATACAAATGCAGTCTAACAAAAGCATAAAAATAGACTGTAAGAGCTTCTAAAGGCTTGCAAAAAAGGAAACATGGACTAAGACTTACATGGATCCATTAAAAAGTGTCACAAGAATAGTGAATTAGCAGAAAAGCTAAATGATTACTTTAGAAGGAATCCAATAGAGATTCAAATGATGTAGACTGTGGCAGGATTTATAGCAATGTCAGATGAGAGGTCCAATGAGTCTGATTTAGGTGTCAGGCAGAACTTGCTGCATCTTTTATTCACCTGACAAGTGAGGCGAGTATCTCACATCAAGCAGTGGTGAATTGGCAGTTAAGGGGGTTATAACTTGTTAAGTGCCTGACCAATGATCCAACTTGCCTCAATAATAACAGGAACAAAAACAGAACTTGTTGGAAAAGCTCAGCAGCTCTGGCAGCATCTGTGAAGAAACATCAGAGATATTTCCTCAGAACTGGAGTAAGGGTCACCAAACCTGAAACGTTAACTCTGATTTTTCTTCATAGACATTGCCAGACCTGCTGAGCTTTTCTCTCAATGCCTATTTTTGTTCCTTATTGATAGCGTCCGCAGTTCTTTCAGTTTTTATTTAGTATTGCCTCAATAATATTCAGCTTCCTATCTTGCCAAAGATGCCAAGCAAGCCGGACATTGAGAATTCCCAACGTGGAAGTCAGAGCAGGTACCTCGAGACTTCAGCTCAATGTGGGCCCCAAAGGCCCTCCATGTTGGACATGAGCACTGACATCTCAAGATACATTCCATGGATACTAGCCACACACACACCCCATGTCCACAGACGTTGGCATCAGGACGTGTGCCAACCTCTAAGAGCCCTCATGGCACATCTTCGGACCTCTTAAAGGTCACTTCTGCAGTTCAATCCTGTCACAGTAACTGTCATTGTAATGCTGCAGAAAGGACACTGTGTGCTCAGCTCATAGACTTGGCCAGGTTCTATCTCTGCGCAGTTCACTCACTCACATGGTGTCCATTCACTCTGAGCCTATCTGGATGCTCAAAACATCCCTGCCTTGCCTGTGAGGTCTTGCCCCTTCAGTCAGAGACACCAGGCTCACTGTTCTTCTGTCTCCACCAAAGCAAGAAACTCATCATGGCTGTTAGCAGTCATCAGCCAATTGAAGGGTATTAGCCTTGACTCAGAGGATCCTGGCACAGCAAGTCAAGGGCAATCTCTGATATCAGTTTAGGGGCATGGATACAGTCGGTCAGCTGCTCAGTCAGATCCAGGACCTTACCCTCATAAAGGAATGAGGGGCTGAATATCGATAAGCCTACCACCCACCTTGAGTCATTCTGCCCTATTGAGGGCTGTTTTCCTCCTGGAATGAGAAAGGGGCAGGAGATGAAAAGTGGATAACTTGGTTATTGGTGCAGGGGAGTGGGTGAAGCGGCAGCGCAGACAGCATGCAAGGTTGGTGGTATCTGGAACTGAGGGTGGGTGGCAGCAAGAAACGACAGATGGTGAGATTGTTGCAGCGTGAGCCTTGGTGGGAGGCAGGTACACAGTCGCAGAGATAGAGTGGCCACAGGGGAGCAGAGAGAAGGTGGTGGCACTTAGGCTGGCAGAGTGGAGAGGGTTCATTGACCTTCTTGCCAAGGGGCTGGGCATTCCTCCAGATGGTTGAGACAGGTGGCAACCTCAAACCAGGCTGGCATGGTTATGTGGCCACCTCTGCTGGTCTCGCAGGAAGTGGGTGCCCATGTTCTGCACCACCACATCCAGCAGGACCTCCAACTGGGCTGACAGAGCCTGTCTGGATGCAGAATAGCATTTTAAAGATGGCACTAATGCGAGGGATACCAGCCAATTACAGGGTATCCTGGCAGTGATGAGTTGTTCTGGGAACGGTGCATGGTAAGATGGAGCTGGAATTTTGTCTGAGCGGGATCCCACAAGAGCAGGGTAGGCCATTTATGAGGTGAGTGTGATAAGGTATGGCAGCAAAAGCTGCAACAGAACCCTCCAAAAATCTTGATGTAACTTGCATTTGGCAAAAAAAAACAACCTTTTGTGTCTGTTTTCACTGAGGAAGACATGAGAAATCTCCCAGAGTTAGAGATCCAAAGGACTAGGCTGAATGACGAGTTGAAGGAAATTAGTACTAACAAGAAGATTGATATGTTAATGGTGCTGGAAGTAGATAAATCCTCAGGGTATTGTTATCTTCATCCCAGAGAGCTGAAGGAAGAGGCTACAGAGATAATCAATGTTTTGGTGATTATCATCCAAAATTCTATAGATCCTGGAATGACTTCTGCAGATTGGAAACTTGCAAATTTCATCCCACTATTTAAGAAAGGAGCAAGGGAAATAGCAGCAAATTATAGACCCATTTGCCTCATACCAATTGGAGGAAAATTGATGAATCCTACCAAGAATTCCATACACTGCCTTTGCCAGCAACAAAGAGTGGCCACAGTGTGTACTATCTAAGGCAGTTATAGGACTTGTAGTGCAAGCAGGTAGCATTCATATGCCATTCACTCATTTCTACCTGGGAGTGAGCATGAGCAGCTAAGTCATCACCTCTTAAGAAACATGCAATGAAATGGGGCAACAGAATATAGTCATTCAAATTCATTTAATTCTACTTATGGCGTTTATCAATCTTGTGGGCACTCCACAACCAGATCTGTTGCTTGCTTCGGTGTGCAGAATATATTCTGTGCTAGAGATTGAGGTTGGGAGATTGATTAAGAAGTTCATTTGAGTTCATTTTTAGTTTTGTAGTTTAAAAGACTGGAGGGGCAAATCTATCGCTACCTGACAAGAATGTTAACAAATCTGTAAGGCTGCACTGTTATCACATAAAACAGCATGGAAAGGTTTCAATTTTCCTGTGTATATATTTATTCTTCGCTGAGGATAAATATGGCAGTACATATTCAAAACTATTTTGTGTTCTTAGTTTATCTTATGCTGTGAAACATATGTTCTGGAGTTCTTTTGGGTCTTGGAATGTTTAGTTAATGTTGCTTAATGTAATGCCAACATTGAAGGTCATCGAGGAGCTAAAAGAATGTGTGAGGGAGCTGGAGAAGGGAGACATCTGGAGCATTGAGCTTGTCACAGCTGAACAGGATAACAATCTCGCTTGTGCTGTACCTTACTGAACCGACTGGAAGATAATTGCTTGCAGGGACTACCTCATGGGAGAGGTCATATAACTACAGCAAGACAGGAGGCATATAAGCACAGTAATTCTTTTCTATCCCAAACATCTCCCTTTTTGTACAAGACAAGTTGTACGCATTAACATTTGCATCGCGAGTTACTCAGCTGTTGGCTTATGTTAACAATCATTATTCTCTTCCGTCTCTGCAAATGTATCTGGCACACAATCCAGCTAGTCACTTATATTTGTTGTCATTGGCTGTTCACTTGGGTAATTCACTTGTCGCTGCAGTACCTGTTGTTCTCTTTCTGTTGATGGGCGCTCTGGACCTCTGGGACTAATAGCTAAGTTGTGGCTTATGAGTTCAAGCTAAGGAGTTGCCTGTATTGAAGTATCAACTTCTCCAATTGTGCAGCTGTGACTGTTATGTTATATCTGTTCATTCACTTCCACCATGTTTAATCGAGCTGACAACTGAGCTGTGTATTATCCAGTTTGCCACTTGAACTGATTCTTGTCAAAAACGTTGAAGGTTTGTAATCTGACTGGCTCTCCAGTGTTCAGCTCTGGCAATAATTTGTCTGTCTTGCCAAAATGAAATTTGGCTTTCCAATACCTCAATTTTGCGAGGTAACATTAATCTTTATACTGGACTACGCTCTGTGCAGCTTTGAGGGAACACTGGTCACTGTAGCTCAGTAAGATTTCAGGCATTCCTGGAAAAGAACAAAGGTGAATTGGAAGTATAGTTTATGAACTGAGGACAGGCCAATTTTAATATCGTGCCTCTATTTTCTTAACCTCACACTTCCCCACATTGTACTCCATTTGGCCAATGTGGACTGAGATCCGCTACGTGTAGGAAATTGTACATTAGAGCAGTGGGCGCCTTTTAAAAAGGGAAATAATGAGACTGCAAAGTCAACATGTTTCTGTAAAGATGATGGTTGAGACCAACAATCCAGAGAAACGTGGACATGCACAGGATTGAGCAAGGTAGAAAAGGGACGCTTACGGGAGGTATCAGGGCTTAGAACAATGGAAGTCCTAGAGGCAAGTAGAAAGTGCAGAGATAATTTAAAATGTAAATTTGGAAATTGAAGAGAGGGCATGAGAAAATATCAGCAGGTAAGATAAAGGAAAACTCAAAGGCATTTTATAAGCATCTTAACTCAAGAAGATAACTAGACTAAGAACAGGGCCCATTACTGACTAAAGTGGCAAAATGTGCTTGGAGATAGAAGACTTAGGTGAGATTTTAAAAGAGTACTTTGCATCTGTATTCATGACAGGGCAGAATGGAGGGGGCGATGGCCTCATGGAATTGCCACTAGACTATTAATCAAGAAACTCAGCTAATGTTCTGGAGACCCAGGTTTGAATCCTGCCATGCAGATGGTGGAATTTGAATTCAATAAAAAGAAATCTTGAATTAAGAATCTACTGATAACCATAGTTGGTGTCAATAAGAGAAACAATCTGGCTCATAAATATCCTTCAGGGAAGGAAATCTACCATCTCCATCTGGTCTGGCCTACATGTGACTCTAGGCCTACAGCAATGTGGTTGTCCGCTAGACAGTTAGAAATGGGGGATGAATGCTGGCCTGGCCAGTGATGCCCACATCCCGTGAATGAAAAAGAAATGATATAGGTACAGAAGTGAGGGAGCACGTTTGTCATATACTTAAATAAATTACCATTGAATGAGAGGATTTGATTTGATTTATTATTGTCATATGTACCTAAGTACGGTGAAAGTTTTTTTTGTGAGTAGTACAGGCAGATCATAACAAGTAAGGACATACAGATCTTTGGGTGCTTAAACAGAGTGAGGCATACAGGATTACAGGTGCACAGGAGATGCACCAAGCAAGATCAACATTAGATTTGAAATTCGAGAGGTCCATTTAGCGGTCTAATAACAGCAGGGACAAAACTGTTTTTGAGCCTGTGTATTCAGGCTTCTGTATCTTCTGCCTGATGGAAGAGGTTGGAAGAGAGTATTATTGAAGTGGGAGGGGTCTTTGATGCTATTGGCAGCTTTTCCACAAGAGTGAGAAGTGTGGAGGGACTCCATGTTTGGGAGGTTGGCTTGCATGATGGTCGGTGAGTACAACTTTCTGTTGTTTCTTACGGTCCTACAGAGATGGGATTAAAATGAGATAAACCCCTAGCTTTAGTATCCCAGGATGCTGTGGGAGGTGTGAAAGAATATCGCAGAGGCTTTAATATTAATTTTCAAATCCTCTCTAGCCACGGGAGATGTTCCAGAAAACTGGAGGACATATAATACCATTATTCGAGAAGAGCGGTAGTGATAAACCAGGAAACTATAGCCCGATGAGTCTAACATCTGTGGCAGGGAAATTTTTGGAGAAAGTTCTGAGGGATAGAATTAATCTCCACTCGGTGAAGCAAGGATTAATCAAGAATAGTCAGAATGACTTTGCAGCGGGGAATCCCGTCTGACAGATTTGATTGAATTTTTCAATGAGATCATTTTCATGGAGATGGGGGAAATGCAACTAATCTAGTCTACACAGACATTAGAGATAACAAGACGTAGAGCTGGATGAACACAGCAGGCCGAGC